CTCTGCTCTACACAGGCTCTATCGCCGTTTCTGTTCTGCACAGGCTTTGTCACTGTTCTGCACAGGCTGCTTCTCTGCTCCACACAGGCTCTATCTCTGTTTCTGTTCTGTAAAGGCTTTGTCACTGTTCTGCACAGGCTGCTTCTCTGCTCTACACAGGCTCTATCTCTGTTTCTGTTTCTGTCCTGAACAGGCTCTGTCAGTGTTCTGCACAGGCTGTTTCCCTGTTCTCTGCAGACGACCTCTCCAGTCCACACAGTCTGCCCATCTATTCAGCACTATCTGCCTCTTCGGTCTGCACGGCATGTGTTCTGTATGGTTCCTCGATTGCCTCTCACATCTGAGTGCGGCCATACTGATTTGTCAGCCACCAGCTGATCTGCTGATGTGTTAGTGTGGCCCTTTAAAAATGCCTTTCTTCTTGCTTCTGCAGCCCAATCCCAGAATTCCGTGCAACACACTGCAATGCAATGATCCACCAATGGAAGAGAGATCTGGGGGGTTGGGCTGGGTGTTAGGAGGAAGAGGGAGTGGGCGTCAGCATCAGAGCTTAGCATGCGGAGCTCTCTTCAACCTTTGTAGTGCAAAACCAGCCTGTGGCTTTCTTTCTGAATGCAGTTATGTAGCATTATGAAGCATTAGCATTTGGTGCAGAGGGTTAGCATACAGCTGTCATGTGACGCTATACCTTCCCTTTAAAACTGGCCTTTTTGTAGTTAAGCCCAGTAACTTTAACAGGGCCACTATTGGTTGGTTTATAACTGCGGCAGGCTAACAAAAGACTAATTTTAGCCTGTTCTCTCTACAAAAGTTATAGCTGCAATAGAATCATGATTAACAGAATAGAATCGTATCTTAAGGATGATTTTTGCTTTAACTGGAGGTTTATGCTGAATGAAGTTTAGCTGCATAATTAGGTAAAAACTCTAAGTACATAATGGTGCTGTTTCATGTGGGACCGTTTTGTGCTGTCGGACCTCGATGGCCTCCCCTGTCTGTTTCTTTGCTCTTTTTAACGTCCGTCTTCCTCACTCTCTGTCGCCTGCAGGTCCTCTCCACGCAGATCGCATCTTGATGGGAAGAGGGACTCCCCTGTCACAGTCCCAGCATGGCCAGTGATGGCTCCTGTGCTCCCAGTGCTCCCAGTTCCGTGGTGCCCCAGCCTGACACGCAGCTCCTGATCCCCCCTCTATGCTTGGCCTGTCCCAGCAGGCCAGAGCCCCCCGATTCGGCACACCACCTGAGGAGGGTAATGCCCATTCTGCTTTCAAACATCACATCGCAGCTGTTAGTGATCTGGGGTGTGAACGGGGAACGGCCATGTTTAAACAGGCGTTCGTGAGGGACAGCTATCTGGGGTGTGAATGGGGAACGGCCATGTTTAAACAGGCGTTCGTGAGGGACAGCTATCTGGGGTGTGAATGGGGAACGGCCATGTTTAAACAGGCGTTCGTGAGGGACAGCTATCTGGGGTGTGAATGGGGAACGGCCATGTTTAAACAGGCGTTCGTGAGGGACAGCTATAGGCAAGTGTCTTTTGTGGCTTCGCACTTCAGTAATAGCCAATTTCAGCTCAGAGCTGTTATTTCTCAGCCTAGAATGTGAGACACGCTGCATCTAATCACACCACCTCTGTCTCCAGGTGCAGTTATAACAAAACTTGGCTGCTGGTCCTGTTCCACTCCTTAACCCAAGGTCCCAGTGAAAGCACTATCCCTCAGAATTATCTCAGCGCGTTTCTTATTTCTCCTGTTAATAATTTGGGAGTTGACTGTACAAGCCGGCTTGTACACTTTCCTCTTCCGCCTCTCCCTTAGTTCTACCTGCCCCCAGCTGCCCACACGGGCACAAACTCGCATTCATTCTTCTTCTCCCATGGTGTCTGTTTCACCAGGTGCCTACAGAAATTTACCCCTTTACACCAACTGTGCATCCTGCCCAGACACCCGTCTCCCCCGTAATCCACGTCTCCAGAGCTCCCCCCAATGGACGGGCAGCAGAAGTCACCCGACAGCAGCAGTGAGGCTTGCACCGTGCTGGAGAATGTTGCCGCGGTGATCGCCAGGCAGCCCTTGTCCTGCCCCAACCATGAGGACAGGGTAAGAGTCTGCTCACCCCTGGCTTCCCCAGGGGCAGTTGTTATGCCAGAGTGCCCCAGACACTGATCTTTACACCCCAGTTCTGACTGGCTGCGTGTGACCTGGTGCTAGGTGCCATCGTTCTGGTGTCCTCCATGTGAGACGGTGTTATGTCAAGAATGCACCTTGAGCGAGCATTCTGAGCATTCCACCATCCCACTGAAAGACGCCATGGACCAGAGCAAGACCACTCTCCAGGAGCAGCTCGGAGCCGTCAGGAGAAGGTGAGCCCCCTTCACCTTACGCACCCCATCCTCCCCGGAGCTTCCAGCAGAAAGTCGTCACCCAGTGCCAGCAGAACCAAAACACGGACAATAAGGATAGGGCCGGTGGTTTTAGGCTAAACAGGAGAACAAATGCATGAAGATGCTGCAGGCCATAACCCTGCATGAACACTCCTCTGCAAAATCACAGTGGATACAACTATTAAGGACAAACACATCAACCATTTTTAGTCATGTAATCATTTCCTATTTGAAAATCAGGTTAATTTGACAGTTCCTAACTGGACTTTTGCAAAAGCAGGACAATAACCCTGTCAGTTGCACTCACACACAGATGTATGATGTAAAATGCATTAAAATGGGCGGCGTGGTTGGCCGGAGTCCCACGGGAGACCTTGCCCCATGTGTGTCCAGGCTCCCGGAGATAGACTCTGCCCTGCGGGTCCTAATGGACTTTCAGCAGCAGCTCACCACCCAGAAGGCCTCCATAGAGGAGGACATCCATTCCACCTTTGAGGAGATACAGAAGACGCTGAATGTGCGCAAGAGTGTTCTGCTTATGGAGCTGGAGGTGACATATGGGCTCAAACAGAAGGTGACGTTCATTTTTGTTTAGTCACGTGTGGTTGAGGGGAGCCTAGGGCTCCTTCTGTGTGTGGATTGTACACATGTTAGTTGTTAGGTGTATGACACTAGGGGGCAGTCTCTGTGCATGTTTCAGGTGTTGCAAGGCCAGGTAAGCAACCTGCTGCATGACCAGGAAGAAATTCACAGCAGCTGCAGCTTCACGGAGAAGGCGCTGGAAGAGGGATCCGAGGATGAGAAGTTGCTGGTCATGAAGGAGATGCCCAAGCGCCTGGGTGAGCTGACCAGCCAGGAGTTCCCACTGCAGCCCCAGGAGAATGACCAGCTGGACTTCCATGTGGAGACTGAGTGCCTGAAGAAGTCTATCCACAACCTGGGCACCATCGTCACCACAAATGCAGTGGCGTACGAGACGGAAGCCAGCGGTGAGGGCCTACAGCAGTGTGTGGTGGGCCAGTCTAACTCTGTCACCATCACCACCAAGGACAAAGACGGCGAGCCATGCAGGAGCGGCAACGCTAACCTGACGGCGGAGATCTTCACCCCTGACGGCAGCGTGGCCGATGGGGAAATCCTGGACAATAAAAATGGCACATATGACTTCCTCTACACCGTGCCCAAGGAGGGAAACTTCACTCTCTCCTTGCGCCTCTATGACCAGCACATCAAGGGCAGCCCTTTCAAGCTGATGGTGATCAAATCTGCCGATGTCTCTCCGTCTGGCGACGGGGCCAAAAAACGTGTCAAATCCCCCGGCAGCGGCCATATCAAGCAGAGGGCAGTCAAGAGACCAGCTAGTATGTTCAGCACAAGCAAGAAGAAGGAGAACCCAATTGAAGATGACATGATCTTCAGAATCGGTTGGTGGCTTCTGTAGATCTCTTGAGCCGCCCATCTTTAGACTGAGTCCGTTTTTATACTGAGTGTATAATTTAAGAGAAACTGAAAGGGAAAAGTCATTTAATTGACTTGAGCCAACTTGAGAGTTATCGGTGACAGGCAATAGTTCACAGTGTTTGCCTTGCAGGTACAAAGGGACGGAATAAAGGGGAGTTTACTAACCTTCAGGGTGTCGCTGCATCTCCCACTGGCAATATATTGATAGCAGATAGTAACAATCAGTGTGTACAGGTAAGCTGAATCTGCTCGCAAACATAAAAACTGAATTACTGACATGTTGACATTTCACCGAGGCACTGTATTTGATATTTTCAGCAAATGCACTGACTCAGTGTTTCCCAATCCGGTCCTCCAGGACCCACTGAAAGTCCTGGCAGGGAACTAGGAGGGAGCAAAAATTTGTAATGTCAAAAACATGAACCATCTGTGGGTTTTCGAGGACCAGACTGGGAAACACTGCACTAACCTGATAACCTGACTCTCAACTCATAACAAGACAAGTGCTCTGTTAAGTCCTGTATTTGTTTCTTGAAGATCTTCTCCAATGACGGGCAGTTCATTAACCGCTTTGGAGTTCGAGGACGATCACCAGGGCAACTGCAGCGACCCACGGGAGTCTCTGTCCACCCCAACGGGGACATCATCATCGCTGACTATGACAACAAGTGGGTCAGCATCTTCTCCAGTGACGGAAAGTTCAAGGTGAGCAAGGGTAGGATGGACAATAGATGGGTTCCACCTGATTTATGAAGAGCTTTTCTGGATCTGCAGACTTACAGCATGCTCTGGTGGTCTGCAAATTTCATACACTCTCTGACCCCTGTCGGAAAAAAGTGTCAGGCAAACACTGGTGTCACCTGTTGGAGGTTTCTCTGCTTCAACAGACAAAGATTGGCCATGGAAAGTTAATGGGACCCAAAGGTGTGTCAGTGGATAAGAACGGTAACCTCATCGTGGTGGACAACAAGGCCTGCTCCGTCTTCATCTTCCACCTCACTGGCAAGCTGGTCACCAAGTTTGGTAGCCGTGGCAACGGAGACAAGCAGTTTGCAGGTACGTGTCACAGTAATCTGTAAGAGTGAGCACATAAACCCCATTTTAGCTAAAGCCCAGCACCAAGAAGGGGATCCTTCATTTACACGGTGTTAAGACACATCTCCTGACCCTGTGAAACACAGGCTGATTGATTTTCTGCTAGCACATTCAGTGTTTCCAGGTCCGTGAGGAGCTTAAATCTGAATGATATATATATATCTGAAGAATACAGAGGTGAAATATTAAGTGCGAGGAAGGGCAGTATATCGCTGACCAATCCGAGAAGCGGAATCCGGCTGGGCTGGACCCATTCTCCAGCAGCATTTGGAAAATTGATATTACACACGTGTAGTATGTTTATATATACAATACTGTGCAAAAGTCTTAGGCAGTTAAAGGAAATGTTTAAGGCTACTATCTGGGCAGTAAGCGTATCTTTTTGGATGGCTAGATGAACACCGCTTCAGTGCCCAAACCTCTGCTCAGGGGAACCCCAGCCAGTGCATGTATTTGTTAAATTTCACCACCAGCTTGCTTATAACAGCTCTGAGTTTTTGCTTAGCCATATGAGGTATGCTAGTAGTTGAGTCAAATCCTGGGGTGATACTTTAAGAAAGGTGATACAGACTTTATAGTTTTACACCAAATTGAAGATCATTTAAGGGTAATTTTCTATAACTGTCTAAGAGTTTTGCACAGTACTGTGTGTGTGTGTGTGTGTGTGTGTGTGTAAACAGAACAATTTGATATAATGTATAAGCAAACAGCTACCTTTTTGCCGTCCTTATTTGCAGGCCCCCACTTTGCAGCCGTGAACAACAATAATGAAATAATAATTACGGATTTTCATAACCACTCTGTGAAGGTATGTAACACATTAACATCAGCTGCAACGGGATCTGACACTCATGTGTTAATCTTTTAACAAACACCACAGATGGCTTCCTGTTTAAAGAGATTCACAATAAAAATCAATCTGGCTAAAGATGCAGAGGGAATTTCTCGGGAAAATTTACATAATCTGTTTATACGTAACGATGATTGGCCATTGTCTTTTTTGGTATATGGCTAAATAACAGAATTCCACATCCCTGTCTGAAGCAGTTTCGCAGCGGCTTTAATATTTTATGTATGCAGGTTTTCAATTCAGAGGGAGAGTTCCTCCTGAAATTCGGGTCCAATGGGGAAGGGAATGGGCAATTCAATGCCCCGACTGGGGTGGCTGTGGACAACAACGGCAACATCATCGTGGCCGACTGGGGGAACAGCCGCATCCAGGTAGGAGCTTCATGCGGGACGTGGCCTCGCAGAGACAAGCTTTGCAGCTGAGCGGAAGCCGACCCTGTGTCGGAGGTTTAAAGCAGCGCTTCACCGTTGATCACTCTGCATACAGAAGGCCTCTTAGCTGGTGCGAGTAGCTATCGTTTGTGGTCTTCTTAGTGGAGTGACCGGGGGGGGTTTACAGTAACCTGATTTTCTTCTGTCCTTGTAGGTTTTCGACAGCAATGGTTCTTTCCTATCTTACATCAATACGTCAGCAGAGCCCCTCTACGGGCCGCAAGGCCTGGCACTCACCTCTGATGGCCATGTCGTGGTGGCAGATTCTGGCAACCACTGCTACAAAGTGTACCGCTACTTACAGTGACCTGGAGCTTTGCCGGTCCCTGTCCGTCCGCGGCCCGGACAGGCAGCCACACTCACATGTTCTTGCACACAGTTGGGCCACGTCGCCCTCCTTAAACGCCGCATAGGAGTCACCAAAAACTTCATGTGACTGTGGCCTTGCTTGTCACCCGCTGGATCCTCGGCTTCAGTGAGAGGCATTTCCCATAATCCCTTGCTTGTCCTCAGTGTCTCTCACTTCAAACAGCATCCAAATGTCGTGCCAAGAAACTAACAGGACCTTCTAAGACAAAAAAACGCTGTCAAGGTCTTCTCTGAACTGCCGTCTACAGATGATAGATAATCCAGGACAGTAGATAACTTATCTGTACATTCAAACCCCTGTGCTCTGGATTTTCAGTGTTTTGTTCCCTTAATATTTCTTCGTGGATGAGAACACGCTGCCTAATATTGGATTCATGACCAATTTCATTTAGCCATTTTCCTTCTTTGCTACGTAAACAACTGACCTACAAGTAAAACCGATGCCCGTGGTTTGGCCCAATCCGGCCAGAGCCCAAAATGTGCCGCACGGCAATTTGTGACCGTCTTGCTTAACTCGGTACTAATCAATCTCACTTTATTTAGATGAAGATTAGTATGAAAAAAGTCAAATGCAGATTTGATTATATTTGTGATAATTGATATTTATAGACTGATCCTTCTATTTGGGGAAAAAAATTAGATTGAGAGGTCTGCCTCTGAAACCTTGCATCTCACAGACAAAGAACCACAGTTATTATTCAGTTATTTCCAGTAAAATGGTTCCTGATCTCCCCCTGCAGTGAGGTATAAAATATGAGTGTGTGAATCTCACAGCTCTCCAAATGTGACAGGATATTTCTGGAGCATTAACATGCACTGTTATGGTTATTGTAGAGAAGTGTATTCCATACAGTTACTGAGTGCTGTTACACGCTTAGATCCAGAAAGGCGTGTAATGTATCAGCAAACAGCCATCTGTTGATGTACTTGCTGACTATTTCCTGTTGGATTACAAGGTCAGTCACCTTGAATAACTACCTACTACTTAGTAGGAAAAACAGTTTTGGGAGCCCAGACACTTTTCCCAAAAAGTGGTACTTTGTAGATAATACTGTGAGTTATACAATGCAGCTTATTTTATGTGTAATAGGGCACCTAAAGACAGCTTGCATTTCTAAAACTTTGCAAACTGGTATTTGTTGAAAGTCTAAGATTAAACAGCAAACTTGGATGTTGGATAATGAACATAGTTTATTTTACTTTGCCTGTGGTTTAAGATGAAGAATCGCTGACCATTTAAAGGCTGAGTTGATGACTCAAGTAATATTTAAATTAATCCAAAGCTATCGATCATGGTCGTTACAGCTTTCTTTAATGGTCCTGTACTGAACATAAGTATGCTTGCCGTTATCACAGCTCTAACCAGTACGTAGAGGAATGCATTTTGTGTGCTGTAATTAATTACTACATCAATGAACAATATCCTTAAGGACAGCTAATGCACATTTTGGTTCTGGGAATGAGGGTCGTTTACCTTGTTCTTGACAAAACATATATTTTATTTAAGAAATAACTGTACTTGTTTCATTAATTTTTTATTATTTAAATTCCTGTGTGTATATGATGCCAAATGTATGACTGTACCCATATTATATTTTGTTTTCAAGATATATGTTCATATTGTTAGTTATAGCAATCTTTGAAATACCGTTGCTATAAGAAAATGCACTTATTTTATATAATTTAATTAGTACACAATTTCCCTGAAACCATGTACATTCTGTATGGAGTGACGCAGATGTTTCACATTCATTGGAAGCAGCTCTGATAGCTACATCTCACAAATTCCAGCATTTGAAAGTTTACTGATAACGTTTTATTTATCGCCTACATTTTTTCGTCTGTTATTTCGTCTGTTATTTATGCGCATGTTTGAATTTTGCTGAATCTCTGCTGTACTTCCTGTTGGAATTAATCTAGTTCAAAATGTAGGTTGATGCATTTTCATTACTGGCCCTAATTTAATCATATTTGATCACTTCTGTTTATTACCTAGCTCAGCCAATAAAGAAAAGCATTCTTTGATTTTCTTATGTTGTGTTTTGACCAGCTGTTATGATTCTGCGTCCAGCTCATAATCCCGACTTTTCGTTTCGGTCACTGTTAGTGATATGCTGTAATTCCTTAACTGTCATGCTCAGCTTCATACAAGTAAATGCTTGTTTTAATGCACCACACGCAGGTCAGCCTCCGGTCAGAGGCCCACAGCAGCATGAAGCACCCTGCACCTCAGCGCCCCTGAAGGACACCATGATGTTGTGGTCTTTCTCCATCACTGGCCTTGAGGTTGTCCATCGACAGGTTCATGTGGAAGCCTGGTGGAAGCAGCTATTCCTCGGGGTTTGAGATCCCCTCCCTGGTCCACAAGGACCCCGGCTGAGCCCTTGAGATGATGCTCGTGTGGCATTTTGGGGCAGGAACAGTGAGCCTGTCTGGAAGCCTTCGCTTATTTACTCTTGTGTTTACAGTCCTTCCATTCTGTAACTACTTCTCCTACTCAGAGTTTGGGGGGCATGTTTACTGAAGTTCTCTTTAAATGCGTTTGTTCTGGTAAACCTACATCTCAAGGCGCAGTGTAGTGGGACATACCTCAGTTTTGCAGTTACCTCGTGACTTCACTTCGCGTCCTTCACTTTGCATGGCTGTGACTCACAGCCAGTCAAAGCCGCTTTGATAGTGGTGGATTCATGCCTAGTTCTGACGGATTAGAAGTCAAATAGGAATTGGGGCTTTTCCTTTCAGATTTTAGCCTTTTGAATGATAAAAATGTGATCGACTGAGCATCGGCCTGCAAAGCCAGCTGCCCTTTGGGCGTGAAGATGAAGATGTGTTCGTGATACAGAAGGATAAGAGATTTAGGCAGTCATTTATTCTGCATTTCTGAGATGTCTAATGTGTCCTGGCTGATGGACGTTCTTGTGAACATTTTGTACACAAATGAGTGAGTTACAGCAAGTGCCCTGAGTCCTGGGTGTGTTCTGATGATTTAATCTAAACAAATGGAGAGTAAATAACAGCTTTCTAATGGCTTGTCCTTTCAAATAGTGTTTGCCGGGCTCTTTCCAAACGAGCCTTCCCACCGAACGGTGATAAGGCACAGAATTATAATGTCACTGCACACAGAGCAGAGAGAAGTCAGCAGCATCGCAGGCAAATACTGTACAGCGGGAAAGCGAGTCTTCTGACACTGTGACACAGGCAAAGGTCCTCTGGGAATCTGACTGGGACACCTGATATAAAGCCAATTGATACATAGATAGATCGATGGTTTAGTATATATTTTATATTTTATCATTTTATATTTTTGTCTAAGATTAAAACCTATTTCAATTCAATCCACATAATTTCCTCTTAATCGCTAATCAAGAGGATAACAGGCATCAGTGAGTAACACGGCTATCATACAAAAATTAATAATAAGGAAAGACAAACAGCATGTATTCAAGCTGAGTCTCAAAACAGTCTGGTCCTAATTTTTTGGACCTGGCTTCCAGACGCCCGCTGTCCACAGCGGACAGAATGAGGACGCTGGCTTGGAGTAAATTAAACCAAGCGGCAGATCCAGCCACAAAGGACTGCAGCAAAGCACATCAGGAAATGACGGATGAGCTCATGCGGAGAGCTCCACCTGCTGCCACCTTGTGGCCTCGATGGAGAAGGGCGACGGTGAGATCTGCAAACATGCTTCTTAAAGGATCTACACATAGGATCTACAGACTGACAGCCACAAAGCATAGACTTACCAACTGCTCTCACTGGGGTGGGGAGGGGGGGGTAGGGCTACAGCCTGTCCCACACAGCATAGGGATCCACCCAGTTGGGATCCTATTCCATTCCTGGGTACATATAACAATCACACACTACAGGCAAATTACATATGTCAGTTAGCCTGACTATGTCTTTGGACTGTTGGAGGAAGCAAATGTGACACAAGAATAACACGATTCGAACCCCCAACCCAGGAAATTTCAGACAATATCACCCCCACCTGAGCCACTTGTGCTGCACACCCTCAGCTCACTTCCTAACAGCATTTCAACATTTTGTGAAATTGTACTTTTTTCCTCATTACTCTATTTCAAAATATTGGTTTGTGCCATATTGTACCTCACTATGTTTGTTTGTGTGCACTGTACGTGCCTCACTGCTGAGTGCACAAGAATGTCCCCTGGGATCAATCAAGTTTGATTTTATTCTTGCATAATCTGTTTCATCCATTCATCCATCCATTCATCACCACCCGCTTGTCTGGGATCCGGGTCACGAGGGTAGCAACTTCAGGAGAGATACCCAGACCTCCCAGACCTCAGGAGAGATACCCAGACCTCCCTCTCCCCAGCCACCTCTACCAGCTCCTCGGGGAGGACACCGAGGCGTTCCCAGGCCAGCTGAGAGATATAATCCCTCCAGCGAGTCCTGGGCCTGCCCCGGGGCCTCCTCCCTGTAGGACATGCACGGAAAACCTCTCCGGGTAGCCGCCCAGGAGGCATCCGCACCAGGTGTCCAAACCACCTCAACTGGCTCCTTTCGACATGGCGAAGCAGCGGTTCTACTCTGAGACTCTCCCAGATATCCGAACTTCTCACCCTATCTCTAAGGGAGAGCCCAGACACCCTGTGGAGAAACCTCATTTCGGCCGCCTGTATTCGCGATCTCATTCTTTCGGTCATTACCCATAGCTCATGACCTTAGGTGAGGGTAGGGACGAAGATGGACCAATAGATTGAGAGCTTTGCTTTCAGGCTCAGTTTTCTTTTGGCCACAACGAACCAGTTAAGCGCCTGCAAAACTGTCCAGCTCCCGATCTCGCCTACCCTCACTCATGAACAAGACCCCAAGATACTTGAACTCCTCCACTTGAGGAATTACCTCTTCCCTGACTGGAAGAGGGCAATCCACCCGTTTCTGGCTGAGAATCATGGTCTCGGACTTGGAGGTGCTAATCCTCATCCCCGCCGCTTCACACTCGGCTGCGAACCGCCCTAGTGCATGCTGGAGATCCCCAGCAGATGAAGCCAACAGGACGACATCGTCTGCAAAAAGCAGCGAGGCAATCCTGAGGCCACCAACCTGGACACCCTCAACACCCTGGCTGCGCCTAGAAATCCTGTCCATAAATATTATAAACAGGACCGATAACAAAGGGCAGCCCTGGCGGAGCCCAACCCGCACTGGGAACACGTCCGACTTATTACCGGCAATGCGAACCAAGCTTCTGCTCCTTCATACAGGGACCGAATCGCTCACGACAATGGACCCTGGACCCCATACTCCCGAAGCACCCCCACAGAGCACCTCGGGATACCCGGTCGTAAGCCTTTTCCAAATCCACAAAACACATGTAGATTGGATAGGCAAACTCCCAGGCCCCCTCCAGTACCCTTGCAAGGGTATAAAGCTGGTCCAGTGTTCCACAGCCAGGACGAAAACTGCATTGTTCCTCCTGAATCCGAGATTCGACTATCGATCTCACCCTCCTCTCCAGTACCCCGGAATAGACTTTCCCAGGGAGGCTGAGAAGTGTGATCCCCCTGTAGTTGGAACAGACCCTTCGGTCCCCTTTCTTAAATAAGGGGACCACCACCCCGGTCTGCCAATCCAGCGGCACTGTCCCTGACCTCCACGCACTATTGAGAAGGCGTGTCAGCCATGACAGCCCCGCAACATCCAGAGCCTTCAGGTACTCTGGGCGGATCTCGTCCCCCCCCCGGGGCCCGGCCACCACG